GTGGCCATAAGAGGCAATTTTCCATCCCTGTACTGGGGCTGTAAAGATATCGGCTATTGCCAGAGAGACTGCCCCAAATGTACTCACAAAAAACTAAAATGCCCCACTGCAAGGAGTCAAACAGTGGAGTGACAAAGTGGAATGGCTAGAACCAAAGATATGGTGTTTAACTGTCATGTTGTGCATGGATCCTTCGACAGCAAAAGATTGAGTGTCTCTTCGATACTGGCTCCAAGTCACTACCCTGCCAAAACCATTGTTCCAATGATACTTTCTTAAGAAGAAGGTGAGCCCAGACATGTCATGGATCTATTTGACAACCACCAATGAGCTCCCCATAGAAAATGTGAGGATTACATGGATGAAAGTAGAACAGTGGGTGCAAGACCCTGGCCAGAAGGATGTAGTGGGTGATCACAGGTGATAGGCATGAATGTCATCCAGGTTCTAAGGTTTGAGATGCTGAAGGGGCACTCTGCTCACTAAGGAAGTCATGCAACTGCTGCACACTTTGGAAGTACCCACACTTTGGAAGTACTGGAGGGCCCTGGTGCACTCTCTGTAAACATCTAGGGAAAATCTTGCATTGTCAGTGTTCCGTCTGGAACAGGGGTTGTGGTACCACCTAATAAAGAGCTCCTACTCCTCAGGAATCTCTGCAGTCACCATGGACTGCACTGTTCTTGTGGAACTCTTGCCATCAGAAGTCACTAGGACCCTTATGGTTGTCCAGCAAGGTACAATACTAGTTAGAATCTGTAAAGTCAAGATTTTGAGCGTTACATGTACTTTTCTATGTGGCAAGAGTGAATATGACTCAGTGGTTAGCAGGCATAAATCAAGAGTGGGCAGGAGAGCAAATACTACCATGCCTACTGCTGACCACCCACTCAGAAGCAGTAAGGTGACTACTGGAGAAGTGGTCAGAGGTATTCTCACTAGGGATCATGATATGCGCTGTACCAATAGGATTGAACCATGAAGAGCCCCCATCCAGGAGTGATATTGCAACATACATCCACACCTTCCGGCACCACAGAGCTCGACTGGCATTTGCCATTGTACACTAGAATTGTCAAGTTGGCCACTGGCACCCTGTGATTTTCACAGATGAGAGCAGGTTCACCCAGAGCACATTGACAGATGTGAAAGAGTCTGTAGAAGCCGTGGAAAACGTTATGTTGTCTGTAACAGCAATCAGCATGACCGTTTTGGTGGTGGGTCAGTGATGGTCTGGGGAGGCATAACCATGGAGGGACGCGCAGACCTCTACAGGCTAGACAATTGCACCCTGACTGCCATTAGCTATTGGGATGAAATCCTTGAACTCATTGTCAGATGTTACGCTGGTGCAGTGGGTCCTGAGTTCCTCCTGGTGCACAACAATACCCAGCCTCATGTGGCAAGAGTATGCAGGCAGTTCCTGGAGGATGAAGGAATTTGTACCATTGAATGGCCCCCACGCTCGCCTGACCTAAATCCAATAGAACACCTCTGGAATATCATGTTTCGGTCCGTCTGACGCCGCCAGGTTGCACCTCAGACTGTCCAGGAGCTCAGTGATGTCCTGGTCCAGATCTTGGAGGAAACACCCCAGGACACCATCCGTCATCTCATTAGGAGCATGCCCTGACCTTGTCAATCATGCCTACAAGCACGTGGGGCCATACAAACTACTAAGTACCGTTTTGAGTTGCTGCAATTAAATTTCAGCAAAATGGACTAGCCTGCTGCATCATTTTTTTACTTTGATTTTCCAATTCAGTCCTCTGTAGGTTGATCATTTTCATTTCCATCAAACGATGGGGCATCCTTATGTTCCTAACACATTACCCAGTCCATATCAGTACAGATAGCCATGAGATATGATGTGTTTTCAAAGTGTTCCTTTAATTTTTCTGAGCAGTGTAACTATTAAATACCTCTGCCTCCATGCAGATTCATATTTACAATTTATGTTTTAGAAACAAACTTATTGTAACCAGGAACAGACACATGAGAGTTGTACTACTCCCGCTGTTGCCTATTAACAGTTGATCGGATTCATGTGGGTGTCAGAAGACTGTAACTGGATCAAAACAGTGCAGGTAAAACGTATTTTATTCTTGCTGTAGATCTAAACTATTAACAGAGCTTGCAATATTTTGTGCTCTTCTGGCATTCAGTGTCAGTGAGGCCCCGTATGTGCTCACATGGAGGGTGAATCAAAACTAGCCCCATAGACCACCTGTACTGCTTATCCCATTCCCTATGCTGCATGTGAGCAAGATGGGGATGCTCCTACCAAAAAAATATATAGAAAGAATATAAAAGAAAGATAACTTGTACTAAATTGTATCTTCAAAAATCAATGTGCAAAGTATACGATACTTACAGCGGCACTCACTGTATCCACACACCAAAATACAGAAATTAGACTAAGGAATAAATGTGTTGCCCTCATTGGTTTTTACTTGGATCCAGCCTACATGGCCCTCTATGTAGAATATCACAGCTACCTCCATTGCCCCAGTGAAAATGTCTGTTGGGATGAAACATGTAGGTTGGAGTTACAGTGATGACGTCATTGTGCCTACTGGGATGCTAGATGCTATGCATATTTTATGCTGTTAACCTTCTTTTCTATGTGAGCAGATGCCTAATTTTCAATAAATTCACTTTTATTAATGCACTATGAGCAATTCCCTTTCTCTTGCATGTGGTTTTTTGCTGTGATTGACTCCAGGAGTGTGTTGGTGTGATTCAGTTTGGGATGGTGGCTTAAGGAGCAAGAAGTGGCAGTATTAGTGGATAGTGATGGGCTGCATGTTCGATTCAAATGTAAGTTCAACTCAAATATCGTCCGTTTGTGTGTTTTTGGCGAACAGACGAATGATAAGGGCATTCGGCGGACTGTTCATCTGCCACGCCCCACAATGCACTGCGTTCTCATAGTGCATTGTGATTAGCCAAAGCACTGCACCTGACCATAGGTCAGGTGTGATGCTTTGGACAATCACAACACAATTGGACAGAGCTAGTGGTAACATCATTGCCAGCTCCGCCCAATTGTTTACATCTGACCTGCAAATGTCAGAGTGTGGTGAGTGTTCGGCAGGTGCGGACAGGTCAGTGGGCGTCGGGTTTTTTAATTTTGGTGAGTCGGAGTCGTTGTGACAACACTGGACGCTGTTGTTGATGGTGGATTACAGTGGTGGAACCATTTTTTTTTTAAATAAAGGACTTGTCAAAGACTTTTGTTTTGTTTTTTGTTCAATAAAGGATTTTACCAAAAGACTACTTATTCACAAGGGGGGGGCATCAGGGTTCCCCCTTATTTAAAGGGGTACCCTGATGAGAATGAGCTCCCTGCCCGCAGACTCTTCCCCACAACCCTGGCCCGGTGGTTGTGGGGAAGAAGCCCTTTCCAATGCCGAGGGCACATGGCCTGGTAAGCCGCTAGGGATAGGGGGGTGGTTGTGCTTGTTCGGTCCTCTCCTCCTGACCTGCAAGGCCTGTGCTCTGATCAAGGGTGTGGGGTCTTCCCTAGTTCCCTTAATGTGGGGTCTTCCCTAGTCTTCCTACCAGACCTAAAGGCTCTGGTAGGGATTGGGGTGGGGGACCCCACGATGTTGTTTTTCTTTCTTTTTTATATATATATAAAAATGTAATTTAAAAAAAAAAGTGTCAGTCCTGCTGCAACAGATTCTATACATTGTACAGATGTTCAACCTTGCAGATAGTGTAAGGGGATCCCCCCCCCCCGACATGATAGTTAAAGGAATTTCCTTTATTTTTATTTTTTTACTTTACGCAATGAAAAATGACTGCCACCTTAAAAATGGTACTTTTTGAATTTTTTTTTCACTGATTCATGTCCCTCAGGGCAGTTTCCAAGTCCCCATACCCCTTTTATGGCCAATAGCTTGCATATAAGCCTTCAAAATGGGCACTTTTGAATTTACAAATTCGAGTCCCATAGACTTTCATTAAGTTCGAAGTTCACTGTCGAACATTCATTAGGTTCGAATGTTCGACCGTAAACCAAACATGGGTGTATTCAGCCCATCACTATTAGTGGAGGCTTACTTCCCACACTTCCATCCAATAAATTAAGCTGGCGAATTGAGGCCGAAGGCAATTGGCGACCCATTCATCAGTAGTGGGATTTCATGCTAAAGTGCTGTCAGACCTTTTGTCCAGTGTTCTAGGCTTTTTGGTAAGAGGCTTTGATATCCCACCTGGTTGTGTGCACAGCGGTGAGGATTGGAGGCATGGGATCTCTGTGGCTGTAGTGGATGCACTAGGGAGCACCCTGATTTTCACTATATTTGGTTGTTTATTTTTCATGAACTTTTGGATTATTTAGTCACATTATTTATCAGATTCCACTTTATGTAATGTGGATTTTTAAAATTATTTATAATTCCTTATTTATGATTTGGGGCTGTTTTATATACATATGAACTTTAATGAGTTATGTATGACTTAACATTTATCACTTCTTGACAGCACAACACATTTATTTAGTCTAATATAGAAACAGTACACAGGCAGTCTAGAGTGATATACAACATATATATTTATTATTATACACAAAAAAATATCCAATTTGTACAGTATAATGTTCCTGCATTCAGAATGGCTTTTGTTGGGGAAAAAAATGTTTTCAGTGTTTTGACAGACAATAGAAACAAAGTACAGTAGACCTTTTCACATTACTTTTGAAACTCACAAGATTTAATAGCCCTAGAGTCTACACCTTCAGAAAAACAAGATGGCAGTAGTAGCTTCCATATTTCTGTCCTCATAGGTTTACTAAAAAAAGATTTGATCAGCTAGGGCTTTCACTTCCAGGCAAATCACTCCAAGGCATTCATCTTCCAAAGATTTGTGGAACCGCAAGTCAATTGACATGTTCACGTTGATTTGCTACTTTTTTTTTTTTTTACATTGGAATCATGTTTGACTCAGATATCATCTGCCTAAATCCAAGTAAGGGTTTTAGGAAGACTTACATTTTACTTCCTTAATGGAAAATTTTCTGTAGGTTTTTCTTGTGGCTTGAAGGCAAGATCATAGGTAACCAAATACCCATCATTGTACATATAGAGCTTGTAATCATTAGGGTTGTAGCTCAGACTCTGTACATTTTCCATCATCTTGTCAAGGACAATGCTGATTTGGCCCTCCTTGCTTGTGTTGGTGTCATACATATAGAAAATTTCTTCCTTTCGGGTATTGAGGGTTCTAGTTGCATACAGGACCCCACAAATCATGAAAGCGTTGGTGACAGCGGGTTTATACTGGGCAGTAGACCAAGATCTCTCTACGGTTAGAGTGGTTGAGTTAAGTTTACCTATGACCATGTTTCCAGAATTCTGTTCTGTAGAGTAGATGACCCAAAGACCATCTTCATCACTAGCAAGGTCAATGTCTTGCCAAATAGATGATGCGTAGGAGAAGCGATTGTTGAAGGTGGCATCTGTGAGCGTCTTCCTCTCCAAAGCACCAGTGTCTACTTTGTATTTGCAGATGTCCCTGGTGTTGTAGCAGTTGTAATACATGGAGTTGTTGAAGAGGATCACACCACCACCTTGACCACAGCCAGAATAGTCGATATTGTTGTAGGCCAGATTCTTGGTAAGGATCTTATCTGTAGGTTTCTTGTACAGCAAGAGATCATCATAAGTGGGGGAGAATCGTAAGATATTCATTGTACGACCATCTGTGGTTAGAGGGGCCACCCAGTGTATATCTTGATCACCACCTACAAAAGAGTCCTTTCCCCAACCTCCAAATTTGTAGTTGAATCCTTGCCAGTTCAACTGCACCACAAATGGCTTGCTGATGTTTTTAAGACCACCATGATCGCAGGTACCTGTGGATTTAAAAGGAAATACATTTATTTAAACTAGATTTAATCAATAATTTCATATATTTAGATGCCCTAAGATTAAATAGTACATATCTCATAAGAGTTATTTTTTAGGAAAATAAGGTAACAAATTAAATCATAGAAAAGGCTAAATGATGTGAATTAAAAAGAAATGAAGACCTTCAAATTTGAAAGATTATATAATCAATTTTTAGGAGATTAAAGCAAGAGTTCCCAAACTTTCTAAACAAAGAGCCAGTTGATTGTCCTGCAGACCTTAGAGAGACTAAACAGTGGACAGGGAAAGTAGGAACGCTCCAGTGTTAGCAGTAGCAATGCAACAATGCTCTAGCCTCAGTGGTCAGTGGGAGTTAAAAAAATATATCAGGGTTTGTGAGCTAGCTATTTATTTAAATTGGTAAAGCACCTGGAAATGTATGCCCCATTGTTAGTATCAGTGGGAGTGATTGCACCCCATCATATGGTAGCAGTGGGAGGAAAATGCTGCATCATTGGTATTAGTGGGAGTTTTAAATACCCATTGCTGGTATCATTTACAAGGAATACTGTCCCATCATTGATGTCAGTTGAAGAAATAGTGCCCCATTGCTTGTCACAAATCTGCAGCTTTTCTACTTATCTGTCACTTCTATTCCTAAAGACCAGCAGCCATACAGGGTTCTGGTGTTACCTGCTATCCCACAGGACTTGTGTTCAAGAGTGGTATTTACCTGCTGATTCAGTTATCTACATGCCCAGCCCAATCCAGCTAGGCTATCTCCCCCATTTTATTTAAGTTGTGCCCATTCCCTCAGGCAATGCCTGAGCAACAGATAATGTTTCCAGCACTATGTCCCCCAGTGTTTCCAAGTGTCCCTTACTTTAGGAGAAAGTTTCTGAGGAAACCCCAAGATTTCTAGTGTCCCTGAATCCCTGAGAAATTCCGAGTGACCCAGGGATTCTTAGTGTTCCTAAAGCTGGACCGCCTTTGTTTCTAGACTTTGCAGTGTCTTCCAGAACCTCCTATCAAAGTTATTTCTGTATCCCCAGTGTTCCCAGTGTCATTCAGCCTGTCCCCAATGACTTTCTGTGTTTGTGCCAGCAACCTGTATCCTTGCACCTGTTGTCAGGGCCAGTGCTTCCACTAGGCAAACTAGGCGGCCGCTTAGGGCGCACTGCCACCTAAGGGCGCCTGGGCTCAGCACAGGCCGGCACTCTGTGTGGAACGCTACCACGTCATGAATGATCTTCCAGCTGAGGGGAGGGGCAGCAGAGGGGAGGAAGAAAGGACAGAGGAAGAGGCCGGGTGACTGGGGCCAGTGTAGCAGCTGATCTGCTGCTCCTTCTAGTGTTCCTCTGAGACTCAGTCCCTTACTGCAAGCTGGCTGGTGGCTGCTGATGATCACTGTGTTGTTCCAGCCCTTCTCTTCCCATTTGTCAGCGGAGGTGGAGCTGAGTCTGCAGAGGAAGGTAATGTCTGACTCTGATGTCTCGTGTCTCTGTGAGTGGGACCCGGCCGGCCATGCATCATATGTGCAATGTGTCAGTGAGTGATGACATCATCACGATCCCAAATCCTGCTCTTCTAGTACCTGCTTGGCCTGCTGATCTGTGTCAGTGTTGGTGGTGTTTGTGTCGGATCTGTCACTGTGTGGGATCGCTCAGTTCAGGTGTTCTCTGTGTGTGTGGGCTGGGCTGCTTGCTGTCACAACATTTTATCTCCCCCCACTGCCTGGGGAATTCCAGCCTGGGATCTGTCAAAGTGTGGATCCATCATCTTCCACTCACTGCAACTGTCACTCTGCCACTGCCAGCCACAGATACAGTCCATCTGTGACACTGATTTTGTCTTTAATACTGGTGCTGGTGGCATCTTATTGGCACTTCTTTTTGAAAATTAAAAGAAATTTAGCAACTTCATGTTTTGCTGATTTAATAATTTTTAATGTAAATTATTGGTGGTGCAAGTAGCTGATCTTGCCTAGGATGCAAAATAGTCTAGCAGAGGCCCTGCCTGTTTCTATCCTCTGGGCATTCCATTATAATTTTGCCTTTGTTTCCCTTGTGTATTCCTTTCAGCTTTCAGCCTTCCTACACCTCCATGATCCCCAGTGAGTTTCAGCCTGCCTTTCATTATCAGAACATTTGTTTTCAACCTGCTTCAGCGTCTTCCTAGTTATTCCCATCTGTCTCTGTGCATTAATACTCAGTCCTAGTGATTATGAGTATCTCTTTGTACTACCATCCACTCCCAGTGCCTGTATGTGTTTCCATGGACTCATTCTATCTTGGGCTGTAGTCATTCTTTTAGTTCTCAGTAGCTGCCGGCTTGGGTGAGTGAGAGGGCCGCGACATGAAAAATTGTCTGCGGCACAATCCATATCAAACTTCATGAACTCTGGAGAAGACAAGGCAGATTCTTAGACTCTGTGCCTCTGTCCTTCCAAGGACCCTCAGATAAACTGTATGTTCAGGCTTGCTGGGTTCTTCACCATTGATACCAATGGGTATCTTCTCTGTCCTTGTCTCTACTGTATCCTGTCTACTTGCATTCTATGGGACCCCTGTGCACCCTCATTTTCCTTATACATACCATTACACCTGCGTTCCTGTAAGCCCCGCAACCCACTACTGTTAGATATCCCTTATTCTTTTCTCCCTTTGAGCCCAGCACCCCTGTGCTGTAAGTGTCTCTTATTAGAACTCCAGCCTGCCTGTAAGACCAACACCCTGTTTCTGTACTATACTGCTGCCATTACTGTCCAATATTTTCCAAGCTTTCCCAGATCCTTGTCTTTTGTGCTTCTCTGTACCTGGTCAGCTGTACCCTCCCATGAAGGGTCCAAGATCCCCAACCATATGTAACATTGCTGGCGTCAGTGGAAGAAATAGTGCCTCAGGAGCTGGTTAAAGGCAAGCAAGAGGCAAGCAAGAGGGCTGGCTCAGTCCCCTGGGACAGCAAGACTGTTAACAAAAGTTTAAACTGTACCTTAATCCACGCGCAAACATTTTATAATATGTAGCTTACATGTCCCCAAATGTGGTAGCTGCATTAGTTTTCGTTTCTCAATTTTACCCTTTATTTTTTCTGGTGATCTGGCCATTAACATACTTCCTGTCTTAGGATGACAATGCTTACTCACTGTACTGTATTTATTGAGGAGCAGTGTTGTCACCCTAGGACAGGAAGTATGTTAGGACTACAGAATGCATTACCCTTTGCTCTCCATAACTTGTAGGGTGGGGGGAGAGTACTCTGCAGTCCACAGAGGTAATGTGGGCAAGGCTGATAAGAGTCCTTGGGTTTTCCGATTACTATAGGCACTGTGTCGTTAGCTCACTACAGGAAAATACAAGCTCACGAGATTTCTGGCAGCATCAACAAATGTTTTTCAAATGATTTAACAGAGAGCACAAAATGCTTTCAATTGTATGATTAAGGCCTCATATACACATGAACTCACCTAGTCATTAAACTCTCCTGGCTGCAGAAAATGCTAAACATAACAAAAACTTGTGTAAACAAGGTACCTTGTTTAACTGCATTTACCTGTGTTTAGCCACATTTGGATGTTCATTCATTACATTGGCCAGAGTATTTTCCATTGACATGGATACATGCCCAAGCACTAAATGCAGGTAGCGTTTAGGCGTGTTTAGCCGCATTTAGATGTGTTTTTGCCACGTTTAGCGTTTTGTGGCCAAAACGTTCCTCTCCTGAACGGGATTATTCTGTGTTCGGAGAAGGAACCTTTAACTGCCCCTAAACTCTGCTGCTCCCAAACTTTGGTAATAGCCTATGTGTACATGGACACATAGGTTTTTATTGAGTTGAGTTCAGGGGCTTTGGCAAAAAAAATGCCAAAAGCTCCTAAACTCACGGTTAGGAGCAGCAGTGTACATGAGGCCTAACAAACCAAAAGGGAGTAAATTAGGGAAGTTCATTGTTAGGGTTTATATCTACATTGAGGTACATACTAGCCAAATAGATATTAGTTTATTCAAGTCAGATAAGTAAAATATTAATTATGAAGGTTATTAAAATGTTCAGTGTCTTAAGCTGCTGACTTACCGTAACTGACTGGTGGAGGTGGAGCTGGAACACCTTGGTGTTTCTCGCACTCTTCCAGTTTCTTACGCAGAGCAGCAATTTCCCGCCTTACGGCCAAGACATTGTTCTTGTCGTATGACTCCAGCTGGTTCACCATAACTGAGATGTTGTGGATCTGGAAGAAGAAAGAAGAGGGATATATTAAAGTAAAGTTAAATTTAAAACAGCACAGAGGATAGAAGAACATTAGAGGAAGAAGGAATGGACCAAAAAAGGGTGAAAGGAACATATTTAGAGAATTTAAAAGACATCGACAATGCCAAAAATGCTTCTACTTAGTGGAAAGTGAACTGAAAAATAAACATGGGATTTGTATTTACATGGTGTAGGGCAATGCAGTAGGTTAATCTGACAGCCTATATCCCCCCACCACTGCTTATGCTTGTCTTCCATTTACTCCACTGCATGCTACTCTGCTTGACCTCTAGAGAGAAACGGATTCCAGTTCTTGTGGGTATGGGGAAGAACTGACTCTTCCCTTCCCCCAATGGGTGCTTGAACAGGCAACGGCTGGGCCAAGCACTGTAACGTAGGGCAGGCAGAGTCCTTGGCCCAGTATGACCGCCAACGTAGAGTTTACATTCAAAGATGAGTTAAAGTAGTGGGGAAAGCAGGGGGATCCTAGTCACTGCATGGCTCAGTGACCACATTGGGAAATCTCAAAGGAAACACAGACAGTAATATAATCCAGACAGATGTTCTGACCTTTCCCTACCCGAAACAAAAAAAAAAAAAAAAGTTGGGCTTTAACAAGATAACGATTTTATTTTTCAAAGATGAACTGTAGCTGAAAAAACATAACAATTGTTAGCGTACCTCTACAAAGAGTGATTCCACCAAGGTGTTGGACCCATTGATGGACGCCTTAAGCTTGATCACCAAAGACTCCATTTCTCTGATCTCCAGTTTAAGTAACTCGAAGTCCAGTTCGGTATAGGAGATACCACCCAGTTCAACGATCTCCACACGCCGAGTTAGGTTCTTCAGCTTTAGTATGTACTCATTCAATGTGACTTGATAATTTTGTATCTAGGGACAAAAAAATAGTTTTTGCTCATAGAACTGAAGATAGCAACTTTAAAAAGAGTGGACAATCAGTTTTATTAAAGTGTCATTAAAGTGAATTTTTTTCTATGTGCATATTTATGTACAAATGAATTCTCCACCTCTGTGCTAAACCTCTTCATGGTGAATCTTTTCTATGAACCCAATGCCGTCTGGCCATCTGGTGCCCAGAGCGAAAATGCCTGTTCCATGTACCCAATTCCGGGACCAGGCCATCTAGTGCCCAGGGCGCAGATGTCAGACTACACCCTGGTGGGAAGTTGAGTAGTAGGGTCTGGGATGCATCACACTACACTGAAAAATAAGTAACATTTTATCCTGCAATATAGTGGGGAACTACAAGTGACAGAAAAAAAAATGTCCTAGCTTTGCTGTGGGGAATAAATGCCCCTGTGTTGATGGTGTCACTGTAAGGGTCCATTCGCATTGCCTTCACACTAAACCCCAGCAGTTTAGTGTGCGGTAGCTCTCCTTCCCAGCTGCAGTGAGCTGGCAATAGGGGGCAGTGTGATGTGCATTTCAGCACATCACACAGTTCACTTTTTTTTCTTTTTCAACTTTATTTGAAGTGCACAAAGCGACACTTCATTCATGTCACTGCACAGAAGTGTGGTGTGGCGCTGCTGCTGTAAAGTGACATGCAATCCCTTCTTGTATGCTGCAATAAAATGTAGCATGCCTGCTTTTTATTGCAGCTCACTGCACCTCACCTCTGGGCTGGGTTGCATTGGGAACACGACACATAGAAAGCAACTGTTTTCTGGATGTCCTAGTGGTGACCTGCATTCATCCAGTGCGGTAAAATGCAGGTCACTGCACTATGTGTGAAAAGAGCTTTAGGTAGAAAAGCACCTGCATCTGTTGTGTCACTGTGGAAAAAGGACCCTGCATCAGTGGTATCATTGAAAGAACAAGATGTCCCTGCAATTATGTCACTGGAGGAAGTAAAATTGTCCCTTCATCCATCAAAGGTGATGTGCATCTGTACTATTAAGATCTGGATTTCAATTTGTTCCTACCAGCTGTACACATATATGCAGTGGCTAGGCGGTGGGCTTTAATGCCGAGTGGGTGCATATAAACGTTCATGGGGAATGTTTGTTCTGTGCTGAGAGTGCACTCTATGCTGCATTATGTGGCACTATGTGTAACTGCATAATAAACAAACTTTTAAGTCAAAAATGATCTTATTTGCTCTCAGCTCTTACTTTGGTGATCTCCTGATTGACACTGATACTCAGTTTCTGGTTGGATATCTCTAGAGCTTCCAGACGATCTGCTGGGAATGTATTGTCGGGAAGGATGACAGAGCATTGGCATACTTCTTGTTCATTCATTGTGCCTGTGCTGTTTATCTGTACAGGAAAATGTAAGTAATGAGTAAGTAAAAAATATTCACACGGATTGTTATTTTTTTCTTAAAGTGGTTGTTAACCCTTAAATATACCCAGTGAAGTGATTGGCCTCAGGTGATACACAGAGATGAAGCAAATCATCCTACATAAGTTGTACCTGTTTATCTTCAGTTATCTCTTCTCTACTTCCATTCAAAGTCCAGAATTTAGAAACTTGTCTGAGAGTTCAGAAAAATGGGGGTGAACTGACATTACACACTGCACAGCTCAGTGAGAACTCTAAGAGCTGATTGGAGGGAAGAGACACACTGCCTTTCACACAGCTCACCGAAAGTGAGCTGAGGCTGTCAATCTCTTGGAGGTCCCTCTCCTGTCACCATTTTTCTCTTGGTGTCAGGTAAACACAGGAAATTACACTTAGTGCTCCAAATTGAGAAATGTACACGCTATAGAGGGATATGCTTTGCTCATATTTCATATGTGAGGTTTACAGCCACTTTGAAGCCAATGGCAACATCGCCAAAATCCGCACGTTCCTAACTCCAGAAACCACTAAACAGCTCATCCACTCCCTCATCATATCACGACTCGACTACTGCAACTCCCTCCTCACTGGCCTGCCTCGCCGCTGGCTATCCCCGCTTCAGTCCATCCTGAATACGGCTGCCAGACTCATTCACCTTTCCAACCGCTCTGTCTCCACCACCCCCCTCTGCCAATCCCTCCACTGGCTTCCGATTGCGCAACGGATCAAATTCAATTTTACTTTGCTTTGGAGAAGATGCTGGTTCTAGTTGGATTCCCAATTATTTGCAAAGGAAAAAAATTAAAAAACAGTTTTTTGCTTGTATATAATGGAACAATTTTAATGAAGACAACGTCACCCTATTTACCAAGCCAAAGCAAATTTAACTTTGTAAAGTGTACATTTACTTTCCTAAGTGAAGTCTTTACTCCTTTAGTAAAGCACTCCAACCTCTTGTGGGTATTTTAACCAGAAACCTATGCTATACATTTTAAATGCAGCAAAATCAAGATGAAATAATTGTCTACCACTGTCTAATTGCCAGAGCCTGGGGTTGTTTTAGAATAGGTACGCTTTAATGCAGTTTTATAATAGTTATCACTTTTTTGAATTATACACTAATACTAAATTAAAAGCAATCTTACCATAAATCTAAATTGTTCAAATTTGGAGAAAGATATTAGTATGCATTTGATGTAATGTAATTTTAATTTTAGATATACTAGTTGTTTTATGTATGATGAAGTAAAACCCGAAGAGAGTTCTAAATTTCAGGGCTTATCCGGTAAAACTAAAGGATATCTGGATTAGGTAAAGCTTCTATATGTGACTATAGTGCTATAGTTATTAATAACTAAATTGTTATATAGCTAATGTAAATTTTATTGCAATAATATAAAAAAAATCAAAAGAATATAACTAAGAGGATATAATGCACCTACAAAATGTAATTGCATTAAACACGTATATATTCCAACAGGTATGTGAATTAACATCAGTCAATAATATTTCTGGTTGGAAGGATGTTGGGTTTCAGTGTTCTGCAGTGGAGCTTTAAAGGTCAGGTATATTTGTGAAACTTAATCCTATTCATTATCATATGCTTGCAGTGATTTCCTGAAGCAGCAAAAAAGTCTGTCAAAAAACATGTGTCGTTTCCCTACAATATGGCAAACTGGGGGCTTTCTGTTCAACTTTGTTATACAGTATCCCCATAAATCTAATTTCCTGTTACTTTGCCCTGACAGGAATCAACATTTAACCATTCCTTGCAATAAAAGTTTCATTTTTGAAGAAATAGGGTTATTTACTAAAATTGCATGGTGCAAAATCTGGTGCAGCTCTGCATAGAAACCAATCAGCTTCCGGGATTTATTGTCAAAGCGTATTTGAACAAGCTGAAGTTAGGAGCTGATTGGCTACCATGCACAGCTACACCAGATTCTGAGTGCTCCAGTTTTAGTAAATCTCCTCCATAGTCTACATTTCTCTTTTAAAGATGCACTGCAGCTTTTCTATATAGAACACTCAGATTAAAGCAAGTGTTAAAGGGAGTATTGAAACAAACTTTCCAGGAAAAAAAAATCTGAATTTGCAAAAAATCGCTATGCATACAGGTGTAGATTTACTGAAACTGGAGCACTCAGAATCTGGTACATCTGTGCATTGTAGCCAATCAGCTTCAAAATTCAGCTTGTTCAGTTAAGCTTTGACAATAAGTCCTGGAAGCTGATTGGTTTCTATGCCAAGCTGCCCCAGATTTTTGCACTCTCCAGCTTTAGTAAATCACTGTCACAGTGTACCTATATAGGATTATTTCAACAAAACAAGCGTTTGGTTACAGAAAGCTTTTGGTTACACTTTAAATGCCCATTTGTCTCTAGCAAATGATAAAATAGCCTTTTTCCTGCATTTGCATTTTAATACACTCGTCAGAACGCAAAACAATGGATGTGGGCAACACAGTGGCTAAATGCCTGGCAGTACTAGGGTCGCTGGTTCAAATCCCAACCACGGCATCACCTGCCTGGAGTTTGCATGTTCTCCCTGTGACTGTGTGGGTTTCCTCCGGGTACTCCGGTTTCCTCCCACACTCCAAAGACATGCTGGTAGGTTAATTGGCTCCTGTCTAAAATTGTCCCTAGTATGTGTATGTCTGAATGTGAGTTAGGGACTTTAGATTGTACGCCCCTTGAGGGTTAGGGACTGATGTGAATGTACAATATATGTATGTAAAGCGCTGCATAAATTATTGGTGCTATATAAGTACCTGAAATAAATAAATGTGTCAGAGGAAAACGTTACCCAATGAGGCCATTCACATCTATGTGCAGCATTGCAAAAAATATGACTTGCTGTTTGTGTACCATAAGGCCATTAGAAGTCTACGAAAACTCATTTTCACTGGCCAAACCAAAAAACACAAAAAAAAAACAAATATTATTGCAAATGCACCACAAATCAATGTGCTACAGACATTAGAAATGCACTTAAAAAAATGAAAAAAAGGCAGGCATGGATAGATAGATGTGTACCTGGCCTACAAGTCAGTCCATCTCAAAGCAATATTTCATAGTTATAGTCTGTTGAGGTCCACTACCTAGTGGATACCAGATCTCGTATCTCATGGGGGTTCTCCAGCAATAAGATCTCCATGCCGTAGTTCCTAGATTTGTTCCTGCCCTCCTCAGATCAATTATGAATGAGACAATGAGGTTGATTTGCTAATACTGGAGAGTGCAAAATCTGGTGCAACCGTGCATAGACACCAATCAGCTTCCAGGTTTTTGTCAGGCTTTAACTGAACAAGTTGAAGTTAGAAGCTGATTGGCCACCATGCACAACTGCACCAAATTTTACACTCTCCAGTTTTAATTAACTCCAATGAAAATGTAATCTACTTAGAATTCTATGGCAGGTGTGCAGAACCAGAAACTTAAATACAGAACTATAAAACTATTAGATAGTTTAAATACCAAGATTTGAAATATGACTTTTGATTGGGCTGACCCTTTGTGTATTTCAGAAGTCTATAATGGAACAAAACAGATAGGAGGTTATTTGCTAAAAGTGGAGGGTGCAAAATCTAGTGCAGCTCTTCATGAAAACCAATCTGCTTCCAGGTTTTATTGTCAAAGCTTAATTAAACATGCTGAAGTTAGAAGCTAATTGGCAACCATGCACAACTGCACCAGATTTTGAGTGCTCCAGTTTTAGTAAATCCCCCATAAAGACTGTTAGAAAGCTATAGTGAGTCTTTAGGTTGGGGCAGAGATGCTGGATACTCACCAGGTAGACTGCATGACCCTGCAGAAAGCCCACAGCGAAGATCAGGAGTGAAAACATCTTGTCACTTTCTTGGTCCTGGCTGTTCCTGTCTTGTGCTGGGACACTGCCAGCTCTATTTATGAGGACAATTTAGGGAGGAGTGACCACTAGGAATTTCCACATTCCCTTATACATCACCCCCCATCCCATTGTTCCTTTCAAAGACACACACCCTGTTTTGTGCCTAACACTTGAGAAATCACTGTGTTGACATAGGTGTAGTAATGTCCTTCTAAATCTGCATATGAAATATCCTTGCAGTAAAGGAATTTAAAATGCTGCCTTAAGCCATAAAATGTCTGGGAATTGTTACTGATTGTTTCCTGGAACTCAGCCTCAGAGGGGAAGCATGTAAAAATACAGATAACGGGGACATGTAAATGGAGGAAAAACATAAAGAGATGTAAAGAGACATCCCCAGGGAGGATAACCCCATTAAAAATAAGTAGATGTAGCTTCAGAGAATTGCCTTGATTGCTTTTTTTTTTTTTTACCTATACAAAGTTTGGAGCACAAACATTCAGCATGAACAATTCTTTTATATGTGTTATACAGCTGTCATCATACCTAAAAAAAAAATCACACCCAAATGACATTAGTTATCAGAATTTAGATTTCATTGTTAAAAAACAAACCTCCTATACTCCTCTTCTTTATAATATTTAAAGGGAAGTTTGAGAATTAAAAAAAAAATAAACTTACATACTAACCTAGGAGAATGCAGCATCAGCCCAGTGCAGCATCTGTCCCTCGCTGCTATTAAGAATGAGAACTCAGTAATTAAAGACCGCTGATCGCTATATATAGATATACAGTATATGTAAAATATTGTTTAGGTTTTTTGAATAGATAAATAAGTCCAAATAGGAGAAGTTCACTGTTAGGGTTTACATACACTTTAATTGGCAGTTTCATGATGCAGTAGTCACTTTTAGTATTTTAAGGTGGATTGGGTGACAACCTAATACTTATTATGTATTTTATAGCAAATAGTGATTGAACAAGGATGGGAACCATAGTGTGATCACTCTTGTATTCCTATTGCTGTGGCATCAGAAATCTGCACAATGCCCCCCACCCCACCCATCTTTTCATAAAGAATATTATGGTAACTCTGTGAGACCCAGCTCCATTAAAAAAACAAACAAAACACAGTTTGCACTAGGTACAATAGTTGTACCTAATAAACGGCCACTGAGTGATTAAGACAGCTTTAAAAGGTCTTGTTGGAAGCAGATCTCTACTGGAAATTTCCAGATTTCAGGACTGATGTTTTTTTCTTTGATGTCTGGTGATTATTGCAGCTCAGTAGGAGAGCACTGAAGATAATGGAAAGTGGCTTTGCTTGCGTAAGCCGTGTACCGGGGTGGGCTCCCCACGATACAGTGAAGTCACGAACGAGGAAGGCAACCCCAACACCAGCTTTTGCCACAACAGAATTTTTACTTAGATGTGGCAAATAAACACAACCACAAATGCTGGGAACATACAATAAATTTACATCCACCCAGCCCAAAGGCTGAGACCCTTGTGCTGCACAGCATGGCGCCTTCTGATGGATGAAGGTAGAAAGTGTAGTAATTTACCTACTGGCGGGCACTAATAAGCTGCCACACCTTACCTGTTATTACCCTAAAAGCGCAGGAATCAGTGTATGGGTGTACGGTATGGGCTAGCCTGCGGTGCAGCACAACAGCTTACAATCTTACACAAATCTACAGTATTCCCTCTCCCATAACTTGTCCTGTAGCACATGCCTGAGTATTCCTTCTGAGCAAAATGCCAGTCTAGCTTGAGTTTGTAGGATTTTATCAGCTCTCCAATGTGAAATGTCACTTTAAGTTGTGGAGTCCTTCCAATAATCAGTAACAACACTTGTGGCCTGACACAAACAGAGACCCTAACTAACTAACTATAGGCCTGGACTCAGTCTCAAGGTGCCAACACTGAAATGAGGTGCGTGCATGATCTTACCAAACAGTGTAGGCTATGTTTGGAACACGTGTACTCCTTTGATATAATAAGGAGAAATTTTATTCATCCTCACTTGGTTGCTGACTTTATCTAAATGGAAGGATTCTTGTGTTGCAGGGTTGAGACCACAAGTCAGGCATGGTGAGTGGAAGCAGAAACCCAAGCATGATTGGATTGCAGTGCCATTGCCGTGCATGTGCGTTTGGATGCCTTCCTTCTAAGCGCCTGGTCATTCCTTGTCTTCTGTAATCCCTGAACAAGAATAAGAATGAAGATTGGGTTGTCTAATGTCATGTGGTGCATTCTTGATTTAGGCCAGTGATTCGGAATATATTGAAACCAGGAATCTAGACTTTTCAAAAGATTACTGAGGTGGTAATCTAATATTTTCCACAGAATAGGTTTTCAAGCCTAGTTTCAACTTATTTAAAGGATAGGTTCACCTTTCAGAACATGTTACACCCATATTCAGGGTGTAACATGTAACATGTTATGATCAGACTTGTCCCTGCTTTCACAGCTAGTGGGGGATCTTTTCCATATTCCCCCCCCCCCCCCAGCTGCATCACTCATTCATTGTGAAGGAGAAACTGCAAGTACCAACAGCCTTAGGGGATGTCGGTTTGTAGTTCTCAATGAACTGCTGTAGAGCACCATGGTAGGTCATTGAGTCTTCCTGTCAGTATATCTGCTTGCCTGAACCAGGGGCGGACTGACCATTTGGAAACTCGGGCAATGCCCGAGGGCCCGGGGTCAGTAGGGGGCCCCATGAGATGCCCCTGGTACCTTTTTCATAGGCTTTTTTGAGTTTGGGCAAGGACACAGGGGCCCCATGATCCCCTATTGCCTGGGGTCCCCATGAGTTGTCAGTCTGCCCCTGGCCCGAACATCCCATATGGGCAAGCAGATATACTAACAGGTCTGCAGGAGACTTGCATGGCACCAGTAATCTGCTGATCTCTGGTGCAATGCTTTACGGGCTCCAGAAACAAAAAATAATAAATGCACATGGTAGGTGCCATGGGTCACCAGGTATATTACTACCTCTATTGGAGAAACCTGCCTGTATGATTTTTTTTTAGGGAACTCACAAGGTATCTGTGAATCCTTCCAGAGCTTAAAGCGGAGTTCCAGCCATTTTTCTGTTTATTAAATGTCAGCAGCTACAAAAACTGTAGCTGCTGACTTTTAATAAACACACACTCACCTGTCCCGGGGTCCAGCAATGTACTCACCCACGCTGTCCCTTCTCTCCTTCTGTCCTCCATGGCGCTGGCATCTCTACTGTGGGCACCAGGCTGTGACAGCTTGCGGCTTCACAGCCTGGTGCCCACTGCGCATGCACGAGTCGTGCCACGCCTCCTGATTGGTACGAAAGTCTCCTGGGACCTGTAAAAGTTCCCAGTAGACTGCGGGATCAAGGAGGGGGCTGAACTTCCAGTTCACTTCGCCGCAGCGAACTGAGTTGGAAGTGGAAGCGAGTACCTGTCAAAACCAAGTACCCACTCTCCCCTCCCCCCCAAAAAGGTGCCAAATATAACAGTGGAGGGGGGGACGAGGCAAATAAGTGAAGCTTCCGCTTTTGAGTGGAACTCCGCTTTAAGTAGTTAAAAAGACCAACTTAAAAAACATTGCAGGTAAAAAACAGAAAGGTATTTTTAGGTGCTTATTTGCAGTGTTTTTCCAATTCATAATATATGTTTTATTCACTTGCCATGTGCTATTGAACTAGTTAATTCTCTAGCACAGTTCCCTCCCTCCTTGCACATAATAGCACTCTCCTTTTCCAGGAGTGTCTAGTTGTATGTACTGTATGTGCTGTTCCAGCTCTTCTACCCTTCCCGTCACCTGCCTACATATTCTTTTAAGTAGTTGCCAAGGAAGAAGCTCTGAATGCGCTGAGGTTGCTGACATCACATAAAAGATGGTGGCACCAAGCAGCAGTCTCAAGGTTTTGGACAGCTACACAAGGGAAGCTTTTACAGGTAAATAACATGCATAAAATATGTTAAATGCACACTGAACTCTCTCAATGAGCATTTAATTAAACTTTACATGCATGGATTCTCAACTCTGGGTTCTTTCCCCGCTTCTAAGGGATGTCCCTGTTTCGTGGAGTGCTGCCAAACTGGAGCCAGCGTGCCCAGTGATTATTTCAGGATGAAACAAAAATGCAGTAGCACATTAGACAGTTGACTTGTCCAAGCATGTGAGTTCATACCATAAAAGCTACCCCTTGAGCAGAAACAGGGACAAGAATATTGCCTTCCTGCTCCTGTGTCTGCCTGTCGAGTAGCTTTGCCGTATTTTATATGATCATACACTCTTGGACAAGTCAACTGTCTGATGTGCTGCCGCATTTCCATTCCATCCAAAGTGAAAAGGCTGCTTTGCCCTGAGCTTCAACTTATCTTTTGAGCATAATAGTAATATATTCCAAACAACTGAAGTTATGATAATGTATTGGGCCTTTACTGGGTTTAATCATCCAGACTTTTTGGAACTAGGAAATTTAGATATATGTAGCACCCTCCTGGGTAGCTAGGGGGAGCCCTAGCTGCTAGCGAGGAGGGCTGAGTAGCAGCCTTGGTGTGATAGACAGGTGGATCAAACTTAGGTTAGAGCTGAGAGGCTCTGCAGACCAGCTCCCTGGGATTTTCCCTTGCTCTAGAATTTTGGAGAAAAATCTAGAAGCGGTGGGCGGAGGCGAGGAGTGGCTGGACTGTACTCTTAGAGGATCCTGCCAATGCCCAACAGGAGGCTTGACTTGGGGCCAGGGCAGTCTTTAAACGTAACTGAGTTTGCTCAGCAAGGGAAGAGTTGGAAGAGAATTTGGGTGGAAGATGAGGAAGTGAGGCTGGAGAGCAGAAGCCTGGGAGGGGGCCCAGATTGGAGAGGGGATCACCTCCAGGCAGGAATCTTGGAAGGAAGAAAGCTTGGGACTTCACCAACCCCCTGAGAGAGGACCATCTGTGTGGCAGGGAAGGACCGGCTGAGCTAGAAGGCCTGATAGCAGCCACTAAGTGAGTAAATCTGCACTCCCT